TTTAAGACCTAAAATATTAATGAAAGAAGAAAATAAGGATAAAAAAACCTAACTAAAAAAATAAAAAGAATATGAACTCTGGTCATTACGAAAAAAACAAACTCTGGTCATTACGAAAAAAGGTTGTTTTAGAGGCATTTAGATTACAATTTATATTAGGATAGAGCAAAAACAAACTCTGGTCATTACGAAGAAAAGCACAATTTTGAAAAAAAAAGAATATGAACCTTCACAAATCCTCCTTTTATACTTATAAACAATTCTTAATTTTGATTTAAATACGAAATAGAAACTAAACATCTTAGGGGTGGGAGGGGGAAGCCTAAGCCGCTAAAAAATGAAATGAAAAAGAATTTTCATGTAAGTAACCAATAAATCACAGATTTGGAGAAAAAGAAACAGTGAAGGAGTTCTTTATCGTGTCGAGATAGAGCGCTGGCATATGGGCAGAGGCTAAAGAGGAAGTTGAGAAGTATTAAGAAGAGGACCGAGTGATTAGTGTTAGTGAAAGAGGAAGCCCGAAGTGAGAAGTATCAAAAACAGAACTGACTTGAGAAGAGGGCTCGATGTTACTGTAGACAAATAGTTGGATGTTCCATTTAATGAAGTCGAATAGTTAATAGTTAGAATATAGGATATAAGAGCTGGTCATGTCTACAGTCAGAGAAACACTGAATTCTTGGTGAGCCAGCAGATGAGGAAGATCTTTTACTTGAACAATTGAGAATTAGAACTTTTATCCTAAAACTGTAAGCTTCATATATTAGAACTTTATCTAATGGATTATGTAGTATGTACGGAAATACTATTGTCATGCTTCAATTTTAATCGTGGTGAGCTTAAAAACTAATTTATGTACAGCCAATGTTACAGATTATGCTAGGCGGACTAGGCATTTGAGCCAACGCCTAGACGCCTAGGCGTACGCCTAAACGTTTGACTATTCTTAAAATTATTTAATTATAATAAAAACATGTATTAAATTCATATAAATTAAAAAAAGAATAGCAATCTTAGATCCACAATAAATCATGCATACTTAAATGCTAAATAAACAAAATAATAACTAATAAGGTTATAGAAAGTGCTAGGAAGTCTAAGCGTTGTACCCGTCGCCTAGAACCCAGGAGGTTTTCTTTTTTATTTTTTAATTACAATAATTTATAGTAAATGTTAATGTTAAAGTTTAGGTGTCGGATTGGTGTCTATGAAGATTTGTTTCTTCATTTAAGTGGTGATCGAGGAGGTTTTGCTGAATGTCTGAGGAAGTAGCGGAGGTGTTCATAATTGAATGTTAAAGGAGTTTGAAAGAGGTTGGAGGACATAGAGACTGCAACACAGAAAATCATGATTAAGACCTAAAAGATATAGTCTACATAAGCAGACAAAGCTTCCCTAAAAACTCTCAAAACCTATGTGGGTAGCCTAGGTACCGCCTTAGGTTTGTGTAGTGATGAATTAGTGATTTGTGGGCTAAGTAAAGGGTGATGAAATCCATCACATTACCTTGATTAAAGGTGTATTACCCCTAAGAGTTTTTTCAAGTGTGTCAAATCAAGATGCTCAAATTACTTTGGTGAATTTCTACTAACTATATGAAATGCAATCCTATGAATTAAAAGTAACTACAAAGGATGCAAAAAGGAATTTTTATTTTAATTAGGGTCAACAAGCAAACAAACAAAAGTGAGAGAAAGAGCTTTTGTTTGGATTTATTATCTTGTTAGTAGTTATTTAAATAGAGGGTAGATTTTGTTAGGGTCGACATAGAATTTTTTTTGTTTTTATTAGCTCCTAATCTAATGTGAAAAGCCTAATTAGAAGGTGGAATTAAAAAAAAAATAAGAAAGAGAACTTACCTTTTCATCTCTCTAATCTTCAACTTTCTCCTTCAAAGTTGTTTCTTCACACTTAAACACACAAATTAAAGAATCAAAATAGAGAAATTCTAATTACAAATACCTTCCCCTGCAACGGCACCAAAAACTTAGTAAGGGGTTTATGATAAACAAAGTTGCAAGTGCATAACTATTAAATTATGGTATAAGAGATTGTTGAATCCCCACGTGAAAGATGTTGTAAGAATTAATCAAGATTGGTTTTCTAGGTTGTGTGTGACAATTTAGGTGTGATGAAAGAATGTGGTTGTTGAGAGATAAAAGAGAATGAATGTGATAATATGTAAATAAAAATAAAACTAGATTGAGAGGGGAGAAAGAAAGATGAAGAAAATAAAGAAAAATAAAGCCAAGAAATAAATAAGAGAAAAATCAAGAAAGTAAAGTATGAAGGATTCAATTAGAGATATGAGGAATTTAGAATTGAATTCGGTGCCCAATTTCACTTATAAATTATGAACTATTCTCTTTTCACCACATTTTACTTTAGATTTAATAAGCATAGACTATCAAATCACTTAAGGAAACCATAACTTATCAAATTACCATTTAAGTAAAATTAACATTCATGAAAAGAATAATAACTAGATATTAATTCTAGAATTCATAAGCATAACCTATCAAACCACTCAAGATAAGCATAGATTATCATAACTAGATATTAATTCTAGAATTCATAAGCATAACCTATCAAACCACTCAAGATAAGCATAGATTATCAAATTCTTCTTAATTCATAAGCATAACCTATCAAACCACTCAAGATAAGCATAGATTATCAAATTCTTCTTCTACTAATTAATTCTCTAGTTGATTTTTCTAAGCATGATCACTTTAAGCACAAAAGAATAATTCACAACTTATAAAATAAATCAAACTAGTTTCATAGAATTTTAGAATTCCTACAAGAATTAGTTTCACATCTTAGAAAACAAAGAAATAAAATCTATACTAGGAAGAATAAAAAGAAGAGAATGAAAATAAAAACTAATTCCTAAGAGGGTTCTAGCCTCTTGGAGAATAAAAGGAAAGGAATGAAAATAAAAAATAATTACAAAGAGGGTTCTAGCATCTTGAACATAATGCAAGAAAATAAATCTATATTAAAAAATAAAGACATTAAAGTAAATCTACTCTATAATGCATCAAAATAAATCTAAGATAAGAGAGTTCTAGCATCTTGAATATCTAAAATAAGAAAATAAAATAATACAAGAAAATAAAAGATAAAAGGGAAAATTTATATTGCAAGAGGATTCTAGCCTCTTGAAAGAGAACATTCATCTTCATCATCAAACAAAGAAAAGAAAAGAAAAATATTAATAGGTGATTTTTTTTTATTAATTGTAATAAAATTACAATTTTGGAAGGTCTTCTCAATTAAGAGTAACCCTTCTCTCCAAATAGTGTTATTATAAAAAAATTCACACTCAAACCTCTCATCCTCTACCCTTATTTATAGTCTACATCAAACAATAAGAACCATTGGATTTTACTTGGACTCTAATGATTAAATCTTAACCATAAAACAAGTTTGTTATGAACCAATTGGTCGGTCAATTGATTGACCAATCGATTGACCAACCGATTGGAATTCTAAAATTCTGATTAAATCTTAACCATAAAACAAGTTTGTTATGAACCAATTGGTCGGTCAATTGATTGACCAATCAGTTGACCAACCGATTGGAATTCTAAAATTCTGAAAATACAGTTAGCTTCGTCTCGTCGAGATAGGCGATTTTCATATATTATATGTTAAATTTCGCCTTCCGGATTAAGAGATTGCTTGGCTTCTGTAGATTGCTTGGCTTGGTTTCGGGCTTCAATAAAAGGTTAAAAATGAAGAAGTTTGAGTTCTTTTTGAGCTTTTATTCATTAATTCTTCATTAACCTGCAAATTAAGATAAAACATGTTTATTAGTGACATTTTTATTTAAACAAAATAGATAATGATGGTATAAATATGTAATAAAAATGTGATTATCACTAACGTCAGGGTTCCAGAAGTTTGCTGCTTTAGTAAGTCTATGTTTGTTAATAAAGTTTATAGTTTTAGTTATACAACTAACAAATCTAGGTTTTAACTGTAACATCTAATCCCTAGATAGATCTAATCATTTAAGTTTGGGTAGTTTTAATTCAGAACTAGTGAAGAATACATCTCAGAATAGTTATTCTTTAGTGGTAGGGGAAGCATATACACATGTAGCAAGTTTATAGTTAGAAAAAATGATTTATCCCTTTAATAATATTTGAATTACTTATTAATCTTTTACACTTGGAATTTCAGGAGTATTAGATAATCCATATTTATGCTCCTTAAAAGGTTACTTTGAACTTGAAGAACTCTTAAAATTTAGTAAGTACTGAAAACTCATAAAATTCTTACAACAATCTGATTGTATATCTTAATGTGTTCTAGAGGAATCGTATAACCGATTGGATGCGAAATGGTTACAGTGACAGTTAGACTGTGGTCATGTGTTTTTGACACAGTATAGTTCTGGTCCAGGTAAACACCTAACTGAATTTAAGAGACTGCAGGATACTGTTTCTGTCATGAGCAAGGGAACTTGGCCAGACATGGGACATGGGTACGCCATTCTTGGACAGAAAGGTGTTTCATATTTCTTAAGGATAGGATGCAGTGGCAATGAGATTACCTATTACTTCTATTAGAATAGTATCAGTTCATGTCAAATCATCTCTTCTAATATATGTTTTAGGGACACATGAGGGTGTCTAATGAACAACCTTTTTTTGGTTTTTTTTCTCCCTAAAGCCTTGCTGGGCTTCAACTTCAATTTTTTAGTTTTTGGGAATCCAACATGGTTCCTGTCCGTTAAGTGTTTAAGCTTTATTCAAGTGTCTGTGTCCAATGTCCAATATGATTGAGTTTGAATGAAGTGACCATGCTTTCTAGCTTATAAGATAGTTGAGATTTCTGTTATGTCAGTTATCTGCTCAGAAGGGAAAACTGGCGCTTGGGTTCTATTCTCTTATCTTGCCTTTTTCGTGTGATGCCCTACTGTTTCTACAGTTCTTATTTTAGTTACCTTTATATGTACTCAGAAGTTTTTGTTTCACGATATCATGTAGAATAATCTCTCAAATCACCAAGTATCTGGAGTTAAGAGAAAGGCGGCCAGTGAACTCCCTCAGCCCACTAAGAAAGAGTGGACCTGTTCACTGTGCAAAGTGACTGCCACTAGTCAGAAGAACTTGAACAAACACCTTCAAGGTAAGAAGCACATAGCGAATGCAGCACAACTCACTAACAGCAAATCAACATCCAATAAATCAAGCACCTCTTCAATGAAAAAGGAGGGTGATGCTGACTTGCCCCTCAACCTAGAAGACAGCATTTCAGATGAGAAAGCTGCGGAGAAAATGAACACAGAAGGGAAAAAGAAGCAGCATAGTAGGCCAAAAGTCCTGCGATGTGATATATGCAGAGTGCAATGCAATACCCCGGCTATGTTAGATTGTCATCTCAAGGGGAAGAAGCACATGGCTCAGCTGAATTCCAGGAAAGGTGATGATGTGGTTGGTGCCGGCGCTACTGAAGTGGTGAAGGAAGTAACAGTGCAGCAGAAACGAGAAAAGGAGGCACAGGAAGAAGGTAACGCTGAAGCAACAAATCTGAAGAAGGTGAAAACAGAGGTTAAGGCAGAAGATGATGCAGAAGAAAATGGTGAGGAAGCATTTCCAAAGGAAATTTGATGTGATGTCCTATAATACCTTCGCTGATATGGTCTTAGAATTAGGTTGAATGTCTTTTCTCGAGACAGATTACGTTTGATCTTGTACGATTTTAGCACCTGCATTCGATCTTGCGACTTGTGTGCCCCTTGCGGTTAAAGATTATTAAGCATCAGAGTGGCATGTGGTTGCTCTGTTTATGTTGTAATTGTAGCTGTCCAAAGTCGATGACTTAGTAGCCCTATCTTTATTTTCGTGGTGCGCATGGTTTTCAGTGCATTGTACAAAATTGTTGGCAAGTATATAATCTTGTATTTAACTGGTGGTAGAACTGAAGTCTTCTTGAGTTTGTGGAAACTTGGCAACAATAATGCTAGATGTATGTGAATGAGTAAATGTAATTTCTATGCTTCAATGATGGGTTAAAAGGCCTTATTTTCATTACGCTAATTCTTACACATGAACCTATGACAATAATAATTTGGCAGCGACATTTGTGGAACGAAGATTCGTTACCATCAACTGGAAGGCTGAGTACCCTTGGAGGAATACCCACCTCTGATGAATCGCATAGGAAAATATATTGAAATAATGATACGAACGCAGAGATTTGCAGTAATCGACCAGATAATGTTTGCTCAGCGTAACTCGATCAAAGACCAGGTAAACTTTAAATACCTCTTTTCAATGCCTTGAAGATGTACATCAGACTTTAGAAGATGATACATGTAGTAATTGACGGAGTCTAATGGGTCCTGGAGCCTATAACTGAAGTTGATCCGACCTGATCCAGCGGATCCACCAAAGAGAGAAATGCAGCTGAGATCCTTTACTGCTGTTTGAGTTGGTTGTACAGGCAATTCAATTGCTAATTATATTAATAATAACTCACAAGTCTTTAAACCAAAAAGTGATGATCTACAGAAAGACCTCTAGCAATTGCATGTTAAAAGTGCGTTTTATACAGACATGACTAAGAGCAAGTGCATCAAGCTCCCAGTTGGGAGTCCTAGTCAGCAAGCTCTTAAGAACTCTCAAGCATTTTGAAATAAAAAATTATAAAAATAAGTCTTGGGAGCACCTCCTTATTTTATGGAGCTCCAACAAGCTCCTAGTTAGGAGCTCCAACAATATCAAAAAAACTCATCTTCTATCAAAAAAACCTCACTTCTATTGCAAAAGATACAAAGGCCAAAAACTTTTTCGTAAAAAAAAATATTTCTTTAAGGCTTGGATTTAAAAGTAAGGGGGGTTTTGTAAAAAAAAAAATTTTTAATGCTTGGGAGCTCCCAAGTGCTCCACAAATTTATGGAGCGCTTGGGAGCTCCCAAGAGCTCCGGTGGGCCCCACTGGCCACATCAGCCCAGGGAGCCCCTTGGGAGCTTGCTAAGAGTTTGTTGGAGGGGGGTTTAAGAGCTCTCACCGCCACGTAGGCTTTGAGAGCGGCGGTGGGAGCTTGGTGCACTTGCTCTAAGTTGGGTGCATCAATTTAGGGTTTATTGCGGGTAGACCCGCTTACTATCGCCCAATTGCGAATAGACTCCAGGTAGCTCTATTGCTACAGATAAACCCTCAGGGTGAATTTGTCCGACTCTTTTACCCTTGGAGAGAGACAACTATTTTTTTTGACAAATAGACCTCGAGGGTAAAAGAGTCAAAAAATTTCACTCTGGGTCCATCGACAATTTTGGGTGACAATAATGGTGGTCTATCCGTAACACTAGGACCGTATAAAGTCTATCCACAACTTGGTGATAGTACAAGGGGTCCATCCACAATTAACCCACGAATTTATGAACAAAAATTGGTAGTAGCAGTGGTCCGAGTGATTCAGTGCTCTAAAAACACTAGGGCACACTTGGATATTACTAGTTACTAGCTCACGGTCTTCAAAATAAAAAGGGAGGCGCTACAGACACACCCTCAGGCACATCACCAACCACACCCCCTCTCTATCTACAGTGCAGGGGGCCTCACATCAGATTTTTTTTAAAAAATCTGATGTGGTGCCCCCTATACTGTAGATAGAGAAGAGGTGTGGTTGGTGGTGTGCCTGAGGGTGTGCCTGTATCATTTTTCAAATAAAAACCTCTATCAGCAAACCAATGTCAACTTGTGCTCTCTGAGAATACACCGATCAATGCAGTAGTAAAGCAAGAACAATACTTACGTAAAGATCAAGATGATAAGGCTGAAAAAAGTAGCATTCCTCTCCCATCGACACGAAGAAGGAAGTATAATTACCTGACGCGCTGCCAAGAGATGGCCTCAATATTCACCCAAGGGCAAATTGTTCACGCATAAACTAACCTACTTCATTCACTCAAGAAGCTGCAAGAAACTCAAATCTTAAGAAAAATATAACATGCCATTCTTTCTCTAGATCTTTGTACGAGACGAGAACGAAAAGCTGTAGTATACATTCTCAAAAAAATTTGCTCTCCAAAGGATATACTGACGAAAGATCTACTTCCTAAGAACTGAAGAGCTCTCTCTTCCTACCACCACAAGCTAAGAGCTCTCTCTTCTTGCCCCCATAGTTATAGAGCGCTTTCTAAGTAGCCCCTGTGCTTTTATATTTTGCAAGTCAGCCCTCAACTCTGAAGACATCAGATCGCCAAGGGTGATGTACTGATGTGGCCAGGAGAGAAAATGTTCAAACGTGAAGGGCGCCTACGCAGTGAAGCCAACACCTCACATGAATTAATTATTATATGGCATTAAAAGCTTATGCAGAAAGGTCCAAAATTACATCAATAGCACTAGGCCTCTAAAATCAAACTTTGTTAGGAAATCCCATTTCCCGAATATTTATTTTAGTCGCTGGTTATTTCTTAGCTTATTCGTGTAGAGTTAAAAGTTCAAACACCTATAAGAGAGCAGTGGTCCCCCGGCACCATAGTGAAATACCAAGGGATCTCTCCGTAACACGTTGATGTCCCACAACAAGTACAGATTCTATCAAAACACCCACATAGATTGGGGTGATCTATACCATTCATGGGCGGGTAGAAGGCTAGTTTGGAAACAACTATTCTATTTATGGTGTAAACCACTCCACTCATATAGTGATGGTTCAGATAGGGTTCCTATCGGTCGCATGATGCCTAGCCGACATGTACAAATAACAAAGATAACTCCATGTTGGAACCAGGATGTCAGAACAAAAATTTTAGCAATAAGGGTCAAGGTATTAAGGAATCTCTATGCACATATTTGCGTCACATGACACCATTCAACATGTATAAATAACAGAGAGACTCCATTTAGGCGTCAAGGAAGACTGCCTTGTCAAACAAAACTATGTCGCAAAAATCCTAGAACAACCATTCGAAGAGTGCTAGGATGGTAGAGAGCTGAGAAAACTCTCCTAAATTTGTTAGGAGACTCAAGAGAACTCATTCCACATTTAACTCAACACTGACTAATAATCCATAATTAACGGTACTCCCTAATCAATTAAGGGGCCTAGAAAACGTTAGCAAAGTGCCCATTGATTAACAAAATCAATAAACTGAATACAAGCCAGTAGCATAACTGAGAAAACGATGAAGACTCTCATCATCTCACCTTCAACAACTCCTCATAATCTTGCAAGAGAACTTGGTGCCTGAAGAGAGCTCTTTATTGAGTTCTTCGTTATATTCACTGCATACCAAGTTCAGAAAAAAGGTGTACGGACAGAGAAGAGGAAGAGACAAGAACCCAGATGATAAATAAATAAACAAACAGAAAAAGGGAAGGTTTCAATTCTCTCCATGTCTTTAGGGGGTCTCAAAAAAGCCAAAACTCCAAAAAGGCCATCTAAATTTGGTTTTTTTTTCTTTTTCCTTTTTTTTTTTTTTGTTTTTGCTTTGATAGGTTGCAGGAGAGAAAGAGATGACAGTGGGGGCATTATTGGCATCCATGCTTGCTGTTGATTAAAAGGTGAAGGTTTGAATGGGATTTTAACCCACCCCATTTGAATACACCCAATTATTTTGCTCTCTCACTCTCAACTCAACTACCTTGAGCTACAAAAATCAAGACTAGAGGGTGTACATCCTCTTGCTTTAACGGGCAAAATAAACATCTTCACCCCACTTTGCCTTGTTTCCTCTCTTTCGTAAGAGATGCAGAGGAAAAGGTGGTTGTATCTGCAAAATTTCTGTACTGTTGCAGTTTTTGCCTGCCTGCTAGGTTGCTTGCTACCTTGTGTGAAGGTGGTAGATGAAGGAGACCTCTGTTAACCTGTTCAAACATACGGGCATATTACTGAAATCCCCCTAGAGTTTGCTTTGTATTTACACGTGAGACCTCTTTATTTTGGGGACCGACGTGGAAGAGATAGCCTGTCTTTTCTTTCCTGAGCTCAGACATACAGAAAGTTCCCACTTTGTGCTTGCCCTTTCTATTATGGTGCTGGCTTTTTTCATCAGGTTATGTTGCTTTGGCTAACGCGCTAAAGTTTTCATGGGGACACAGGGAAGGAGCTGTAAAATAATTTGGTGAAATTCTCATTGTACTCCTCAGCTTTTACTACCCCACTGAGTTGCTTGAAGCCATCTTGATTTATATGATGTTTTTCTAATTGAATTTTGAAAAAATTGTCTATTTGGGATGATCGCATGGAAGCAGTGGCGTGTCTTAATGTGATGTTTTTGTGAGCGAGTGTGCTCAGGATATAACAATAATAAGGATCTCATCTGCTTTCAAAATAACCACATTAGGAAGCATTTCGCTACTTACTTCCATCAACAATCCATTAACAGTCGCAGGTTGCAGGTTCAAGTTTTCTCAGCTCAAGAGCAATCATCAACTTTGCATACCAACCATGAGACAACGCCAATCACTTGATAACTTGCATGATCTAAAATCCTGAGCAAAGTTTACAAGCTCTTAAGACCCGGTAACAACCATAACAAATTGGAGCACAAGGATAAATTTTCTACCAACAAACTTGTCAACTACAATCCAGAGTAAATCAACCTGAAGGAATCAAGAATAACCATGAAACTTGTGTCATCTGCAAAACGCAAGCACGTATCATTCAAAATACAAGACAACCCCAAGTAAAAGAAATGCTCGCTAAACACCACCGTTTCTTGTATATACAAGGTTAAAAATAAGTATATAACATCAAGTTCTTTTCCACCAACAAAATATGCATTGTTGACAAAATTAAACTAGCTTCATACTGATCAGATGACGAGGGGGAGGACGTCAAACCCTCAAAGCCACCTGATCTTGCCATGAAATTTTTCTCTTACCGACGTGGCTAGAACTTCCTACATCTTTAAAGATTGAGAGATTGAGGTCATGGGTGCTCTTCAATTTATCTACCTTGTGAGGCTCCCACTCTGCTTGAATTCCCTCCATCTCTTCAGCATTCTACAATAAGAGCAGTGCCAATTCAGTAAACAATGTATAGTTCAAACTCTTCAGTGATTTGGCTAAGGATCTAATAAGTTACCGGTAAGGAAACCTTGTTCAAGTCGAACAACGCAGAGGAGCTCGGAGTTCCAACTTCCTTCGCTCTCTGACTCCTATCTTGCAGAGGAACTTGCAAAGGAAGCTCACTATTTATGGATTTCGGAGGTTGAGATAACTGAACAGATGGTGATTGCTTTTTGCGAGAAGACTTCTTCACTCGACATGGGGTTTCTTGAGATGGGTTTTTCACGAAAGCTTTGTATTTTCCCCGTAAGAATCTGAGACGTTACATTTAGATGATGGTGTCAAATTAAAACCCTTCAAAATCAAACTATTAATTACAAGTAAAAAAACAGTTAGTACTTGACTTCAGCCGTTAGCTTGAGTCTCTTTGCAATTGTTTTCTGCAACTTCCTCTTCTTTGCTTCAGTTTCCTGCACAGCAAGAATATAAATTCTTCGCTTAATAGGATTTATGGTGATAGATTTATAGAAAATGCAAAAGAGACCTGTAAAAAAAAATAAAAGCGAAGCCCTTTCGTTCATAAGTTAAAAATTAGATATACTTTAGTACAACAATGGAGAAAAAAATTGACCCAAAAATATTGAGAAAAGATCAAAAAAAAAGTTGAGACCTAAAAAGAATTAACTCGGCCACGCATCACGAAAGGATAAAAGTAAAACACACGTATAAGAACAAAATATAAGCAAATCACAGAGACAATAGAAACAAGACAAGGGTTAAGAAACCCTAAAATCACAGAACCTAAGAATCTATTAATAATTCTCCCAGATCAAACAACCCTAGAATTTCAGAACACGCCGCTAAAAAATTGAAAAGATCCCTCAATTTTAGAACCGAAGGAGACCACCCAAATCGATGCACACCATGGAGAAGGTCAAAATTGCACATAACAACAAACAAACCCCAGATCTCTGAATCAAGAAACAAAGATAACCCATCAAGCAAGTGAACTCCTAACCCTAAATAACAACAGATCATATACATACATAAATAGATTAAAAAAAACAAGCAGATCCGAACGGAAAAGAAAAGATTTTTGTTTTTTTTTTTTTACCACGAGCAGCTCGTCGTAATCCTGCGAAAGGGCCTGATGCTTGAACCGAGCCCTGGCTTCCTCTGAATCCATCATCAAAACCCGGCTCCCCTTCTTCATCATCTTCGACAAATTCCAATCCAAACCCCAAACAAAGGAGAAGAGAAAGAGGGGAAGTCTATAATAATAAGGTGAGAGGAGGGGAAAGATCCAGATGGGAAATAGATAGGCGAGAGG